TAAGTAAGAGTTTCAAGACTGGCTGCTTCAATCTTGAACCTATTTCTCATGTAACTGTACCACTTTAACATTTGTGAGCTTCGGAAATTCATCACAAAAGTTTAAGTTCTTGTGTTTTGACAGCGACACAAGGCAAAAGTCTCAAGCGCTAGCGAAGGGCTCTGGAACTAAGGACCCAAGATCCAAAGTAGGAATACGAAAATAATCATCTCTTATTCTAATATCCAGCAATTTGAGATAAGTGCTTGCTTACAAACTTGAAGCAGCGGTCGACAACATAGGCTAGACTTTTCTCTAAATAATCCTCCAATGACAGTGAAAATTAAATTATCATCTTTTGATCTTCATGTTGATTGATTCTTCTAAAGGATTTTTCTTTTCTTCTCAAGAATTCTTAAACACAAGTTTTTATATTGGTTTTACCATAGCTTGGGCCTCAGCCTCACCATTTATCCCATTTACTGTGAATAAGCGGTTGGGGGAGCTCTAGCTCTACTAAGGTGTAACAACCCGTCCCGGGAATTACGGAATAAAAAGAGTATTTTTGTATTTTCATTAAGTTTGGGGAGATATTTTCCTTTTAAAATGATTTTGGGTCTTCAATGGTGTGCCCAAGGGGCCCACCCCCTGATATTGTCCCCCGAGCCTTTCGTCTCTCTTCTCTCTCATTTCCCTCACTCTCTCTTCCCTCACCCCTGGACCTCTCCTTCCCCGTGCACTCCCTCTATGATCTCTCCCTCTCTTCTCAATTTCATAACTCACACAAGCAACAGCAACCCCAAACCAACATCACTTGACGTAGGAACCTGGGGAAAACTCAAGCAAACCTTCATGGAACCCCAACAGTGATGGTGTTAATGTTCATCGTCTTCTCCTACGTGTTTCGTATTTTTCCGACATTGGTAAACTTCTAAAAGCCCTTGGCATGTGTTTTAGGGTTAGATTGAACCTTGTTTTAAGTTATGTATACGTGTGAATTGCAGAAAATAGCTCGGAGTAGCTTTTCCAAATTTTCCAACGAGCACCACCCCTTTCAAGGAAATTTCAGGCCAAACCATGGCGATTTCGCCGTGTGCAAGGTATCAATCTCTTTGTATCACTGAGTACTACAAATTTCCTTTTTGAATCATCCAATTTCGTTGAGTATCGAAGAAGTTAGGGGCGTTTGAAGTTTGCCCAGAAACTGGCCAAAACCTTAGCCTGAAAAGGGTCAACCCGACCCATTAACCCATGGTCCAACCCAATTACCCAAACCCGGAGCCCAAATGTCCAGAGGCCCAAGCCTCGTGAAGCCCAACCCAAATCCCTTTTTATTCAAACCCAAAACCCTATTAGACCCAAACCCTTTAGGCTTAACCTGGATCCAACCCTAAGCCCAAACCCGGTTGACATTTGACCCGAGTTAACAGACCCAGACCCGTTTACTTTGACCCGGTCTGACCGTTGACTACGCCACCGACTAGCGTTGACTTTCCCTTTGACCGGCCAACGGTCGACGTTGACTTTAGGGTTGACTTTTTAGGTTTTCATGCGGGACCCCTCCTAGGCTAATTTCGACGACTTTCCCAAATTCATTCGTTTAAGTAGAGTTTGACTAAATATACCATTTATGTGCTTAGGGGCAATTAACTGTGGCGTTTCCATCTTTGCTATCTGCGTGGCTCTTCGACAACTAAGTACTGTGAGTAGATCCCTTCTAAAAATGCATGTTTTGATAATAGAAATGCATACATGAAAAGCATGATTTGATGATTATATTTTATGAAATGTTTTATGAGATAACATGCTTACTAAGACTAGTTTGAATTATTACTATTTTTCCTATAACCCGTGTTCTTATAGAATATCCGATGGATGACAATATGATATTTAGAACATGTTTAGAACACCTCTTTATAGTATAGATGATGGATGACTTTATACTATGAAGTTGCTTTTCAATATAAGTATGTTCACTAGTTTTGTACTTACCTAGTGGTCATTTCTGCTACGGGACGTAGGGATAGATTTCGGTCCATCCCATGCAACGGTTTGGTGTTGGCATAGGGCCTGAATTGTGTTTCCTCTGGCTATTTAGCACAGGGACGGGGAGTCGGCATGGGGCCTGGAGTGTATTTTCCTCTGACTGTCTGCTCAGAGACGGGGAGCCGACATGGGGCCTAGGGGTTATCGGACATTCACTAGTGATTATTATATATACAAATTATGATTTGAGACATTGGACGACATGCTAGGTTTCGGAAAACCTATGTTTATCATTATATATGTGTTTTCATAAAAGCTGGGGGTTAGTATGTTGATAACTGTTTTATTATATATATATATATATATATATATATATATATATATATATATATATCAACTTGCTCCACTCATATTTGTTTTGCGCCCCTTCAGGACTTAGAATCAAGGCATACAATTCCAGCGTCAAGGCACTTCCGCATCGGCATCTTCAAGTCCTCTCGTCGTAGGACCCATTCTTTTATTTATTCAATTTTATATTATTTATTTTAGTGTTCTAGTTAGTTGTATGCTCTGAACACGTTCCCTAAATGCATATTCATTATTCTTTTATATTTATAAGTCTTATTTATCCCTTGTTTTCAGTATTTGCACTCAATAAATGGCTTTCGTCACCCTCGGGTGTCAGCCAACACATGCCTATCCTGGTATCCGGGGAATATTTGGGTCGGGACGTGTCATAAGGGATCCCTCACCCCTCATCATAGAGGAAAACCTCTAGCGTCTCTACTCTCTCAAAGACAACAAGCTTCTATGTACAATGTAACTCTCATTCTACGTAATGAAATTGAATCTACACCAACGTGAACATACGTCCAACTTGAGGTTAACCACGATATATTTTATGTTCTTGTGCATTTGTGTAATTACAGTCGAATCTAAGTCGAGCCAAGATCAACACGATTTTGGACATCAACAGTATTCTTTCTTGGGTCATAAGAAACATGAACAGGAAGATGAGATATTGGTACTGAGTGACATGCCCTGGACAAGGAACTCATACGGGCTGCATCATCTTTAGGCAATAAGAGAGGATTTCCAGCATAAGGGGTTCCGGCAATTGTGACATTCGATCCATATTATGGGTGATCATGGCCACGACTCAGTACTGTTGCTGAAGTTTATGCCCATCTTATTAATTTACACTGTTAGATATATCTTTCAAACCCTAGCTTTCTAGCTCTTAAACTCGTATATGACGACTAATAAACGCATATGTTCTAATTATGGTTAGAATTTTAAACACTACCTTCCAAATTTTTCTTCAGTCGAATCTTGATATCTTCCTAAACCCACAGAAAACATCATAACACATAAACGCCATAACCAATATTCTCACTAGTAAACTGCCGTTTTACCTCCGAACATTCACTCTGGTTGAAATTGACCATGTATACTATTGTTTTGGTGAATCTAGCAAATGAGTAATTTACTGGAAAAATTATTTGGCATGTGTACTCAAATTAATTAATTTCATGTAATTAACTGGAAACAGAAATTAAACTAAATGAAAACAGCTACAAATGCCCTTCCAAATTTAAAAGGTCAAATTCACTCATAAATATAGAAGCAAAGACAGAGAATAATACTTACATCCCACCACGAGGGGAATGCATATATTCAGCTATTTGCTAATAGCATATCTCCATTATATAATTTCATAATCGGAACTGTTCAATTTCATAATCTTCATTTAAGATCATTCGCACAAAAATTCATTCGAATCAAAGATCGTTTATACATCCAAAATAAATCAACGGTCTGAGTACCAAGCAACATATTCATGATCAAGCATCAATTTATCTGATACATTTGGAGGACTAAATGATCTTCATTTCAAATGATTTTTTTGTAGGTATGATCTTCAAATGGAGATTAAGAAATTAAATGGTTTCGATTATGAAAATTATAAGGTGAAAATATATTATTTCAAATAGTAGAATATATGGATTCAGTATGATCTTCAAATGAAGATTAAGAAATTGAACGGTTTTGATTATATATGAAAATTATAAGGTAAAGATACGTTATTTGCAAATAGTAGAATATGTGGATTCAATATGATTTTCAACTGAAGATTAAGAAATTAAACGGTTCTGATTATGAAAATATAAGGAAAAGATATATTATTCGCAAATGGTAGAATATGTGGATTTCCCATGAGCAGGGGAATGCAAGTAAACGAATACTTTTCTCACACTTTTCAATCTTTACATACTCACAATATCACAACACCCAAGCTCTCCTTTTCAACTCCTCGATCGTGTCCTCCTTACTCACTTGCACTGGCAGATCAGCATGTAGATACATACAGACGACTTCTGTCATTAAGGGAACAACAAAGAAGACTCTTGAAACTTCGGCTTGTTTGATAATCATTTAATTTTTAGTTTCTAATTTTCACGAGTTATAGTGCCCTGTAATCGAGTTGGATTCCCTTTTTGTTCCATTCTTCCTATTAACTGAGTAGTTTAAAGTGTAAATTGCAAACAAAATAGCTAACAAGTCAGTGTAAGAAAGAGAGTGAACAGTGGGATAATCAATAATAAATATCCATTCATTCGGACTCCTAGTAAGAAAACGTATGCTTAAGATATGTTTGGATGGGTGAAGAAGGCTGGGAAATAGAATGAAACAAGAGATAGAAAGCGAAAACAACTTAATATAGTCATGGATTGTGATTTTCCTTGTAATCTTTTTCTTCATCCCTTCTTTTCCCCATTTATTTCTCATCAACAGCTAATTAACTAAAAAATGTAAAATCCAAAACCAAAAACGTTATCATACAGACTTCACTTGTGTTCGGTGAACTATAAATTCACAAGATCCACCACCAAAATTTTAATTGGGTAATGTATTATATACCCGTTTCATATCCCCTCTTTCTATTTATCTCCTCATGTATATTGGTGCGTGCAAGTGTTTATACGCGTTACAAGTCAATACGATATGAGAGTGCCGGAAGACGAGCACTAGTAGTCGAGCATTACTAGTCTCCTCTTAGCAACACAACTGAATAAACAAACGGTGAATCAACGAACAAAAACAAGCCAGAGAGTGCAGGAAGACAAGAGTGAAAATGATTTCCCATTCATATATGGAAGCTGACAGAGTCAAGCACTACTAGTCGCCTCTCAGATAGATTGGTCCTTCAACTCCCACAACATTTTAGTATCTGGTACAGGCCATAGTCGTAAGATTTGACATTTCCATCTTGGATCCATAAATGCCATCTCTGATCAACTACAATAATATCCTCGATCTGCCTAAATTTGCCCTTTCCTTCTATGCTAGAAATCTAAGATCTGAGTGAATTAATAATGGGCAACATCTTTTCAATGTCCATATCATGTGATGGCATACTTTCTCGCTGCTGGGATTCCACGGTTGGACAAGTAGCATACCCTTGTATGTTCAAGTCCCACCTTTGTGATCTGCAGACTGCTTTAGAAGAATTAACGGATCTAAGGAACGATTTGAAGACAAGGGTTGACAGTGCCGAGCAGCAGCAACATTCGAAACGCTTAGACCAGGTACAGAGATGGATAACAAGGGTGGAAGCCATGGAAGCTCAAGCCAATAACTTGGTGAACGGGAAAGGTATCAGTAGTCAAAAAGTTGAGAAATTACGTGATTCTGGAGGTGGGTTGTTATGTAATTGCAAAACCCACTACAAGTTTGGGAAAAAATTGGCTGAGATGTTGATGGAAGTGAGTGCCTTACAGAGCAGGGGAGCTTTTGAAGTTGTGGCTGAACGGGTACCTGCAGCTATGGTGTATGAAAGAAGTATTGAAACAACTGTGGGCATGGAGTCAACATTTGGCAAGGTCTGGGGTTGCATTGCAGATGAGCAAGTGGGGATTATTGGCTTGTATGAGATGGGAGGTGTAGGTAAGACCACCCTTTTGACCAAGATCAACAACAACTTCCTTCATACCCCCAATGATTTTGATCTTGTGATTTGGATAGAGGTCTCTAAGGATCTAAAGCTTGAAAATATTCAAGACAGCATTAGGGAAAAGATAGGGAGTTGTGATGGCTCGTGGAAGGATAAAGATCACCTTAGAAAAGCTGAAGACATCTTTGCGGTTTTAAAATCGAAGAGATTTGTATTATTGTTGGATGAAATATGGGAGAGGGTTGATGTAGCCAAAAACGGGGTTCCGATTCCTGACAGAGAGACTAAGTCTAAGCTTGCATTCACAGCTCGCTCTGAGGAGGTTTGTAGCGGTATGGGTGCTCACAAAAAGATCATGGTGGAGTGTTTGGCATGGGACAGAGCATGGACTTTGTTTCAAGAGAAGGTGGTGAAGAAACACTTTATATTCATCCAGATATCCCTACACTAGCAGAGATGGTTGCCAAAGAATGTGACGGTTTGCCACTGGCTCTAATTACAGTTGGACGGGCCATGGCTAGCAAGAAGACACCCCAAGAATGGAATCATGCAATTCAAGTTTTAGAACGATCTGCCTCGGAATTTTCAGGTATGGGAGATGAGGTATTTGTTGGAAATTCAAATCAAAACAGGTTGCTATTGTTGAAAATCAATGTCAAAGTTAGGCATGGAAAGTTAGGCAATGTTAGGTATGGTTGAATAAAAATTATTAGGTGCAATTAATGTGTTTTGTGTGGTAATAAATAATCTTAGTTTAATCATTTGGTTTGCTATAAATACCCAAGCTCTCAAGCATTGTAAATCATCCCATCCGAATCCCACTTCCAATTGTGAAGAAGCTTGTAAGCTTTCTTATTCCAACAGTTTGTAAACCTTTTTTCATATATCAAAGTCCAAGTGTTTTGCCAAAGCTTGTTGCTTCCCTCCTTTCTCTATTTCTTTCTTTGTCCGATTTTATTTGAGAGTGCAAAGTGAAAGAGGTGTGATAGAGTTTGTAAACTTATCACCCACATATTTTGGTATTGAGTTAGTAAACTGTAAAATACCAACAATTGGTATCAGAGCCAGAATACCATTCTGGCAGGTGCAGCAGTTATGGCGTCCAACTTAGTGCAACTCCAAGTTCCCACATTGAAGAAAGAAAATTATGAAAGATGGTACATCCAATTCAAAGCATTGTTTGGATCACAGGAGATATGGGAAGTTGTCAGTAGTGGGTATGTTGTACCCACTGCCGAGCAAGAAGCCGTATATACTGCGGATCAAAGGAACACTCTCAAGGACTTACGAAAGAAGGACCAAAAGGCGTTGTATCTTCTATACCAGGGTTTGGAAGATTCAACGTTCGAGAAGGTTGCAGAAGCAACAACGAGCAAGCAAGTATGGGATACACTCAGTACAATCTACAAAGGAGTAGATCGAGTCAAGAAAGTGAGGTTACAATCACTTCGAGCAGATTTTGAAACTGCTCATATGAATGAAGGGGAGAGCATCTCCGACTATCACTCAAGGCTCATTGTGATAGTAAATCAGATGAGGAGAAATGGCGAGAGACTCGATGAAGTACGAGTTGTGGAGAAGATACTCCGGTCACTCACATCTAAGTTTGAGCATGTGGTGACTGCCATTGAGGAATCCAAGGATTTGGAGGTGATGAGCGCATAAGAGCTACTAGGATCCCTCCTAGTTCACGAGCAACGCATTCAGAAGAATGCAAGCCCCACAACGCTAGAGCAAGCTTTGGAGTCAAAGTTGAATATTGACAAACCAAATAAAGGTCGTGGGCAGTGGAACTCACGTCGTGGGAGCTCATCCAACCGTAGCCGAGGACGAGCCCGAGGAAGAGGTCGAGGCTATGCACAAAATCAAGGTCAGTCTCAGGAGTGGAGATCTACTCGAGGAAAGGCGCATATCCAGTGTCACAACTGTAAGCAATATAGACATTATGCCAATGAATGTTCACATAAAAATGGTGAGCATGTCAACATGGCAGAATCAAGTGGAAATACTGATGAAGAACTTACAGTCTTACTAGCACACCATGATTCTAGTAGCCAACAAGATGTTTGGTATTTGGACTCTGGTGCAAGCAATCACATGTGTGGAAAGAAGGAGTTTTTTGCCGAACTCAAAAAAGGGGCCTATGGATCTGTAAGTCTTGGTGACTCCTCAAAGTTGCCAGTTGAAGGCAAAGGGAAGATCAAGATCATCCAGAAGGATGGAAGAGAAGAATACATCTCCGATACCTACTACATACCAGGTATGAAGAGCAACATTCTGAGCATTGGTCAACTGCTCCAGAAAGGGTACATTATACATATGGAGAACATGCTTCTCACTCTCAGGAATGCAAGGAGAAAGCTTATTGCACGTGTTCGAATGTCAAAGAACCGGATGTTTCCGTTGAATTTGAACACAAAGATTGGAAGCTGCAACATCGGTGTAATGGAAGATGAGTCATGGAAATGGCATCTTCGATTTGGCCATCTTAATTTCAATGGCCTAAAGTTGCTGTCAAGTGGAGGAATGGTTCGTGGTCTACCCCAGATTGAAGCCACACGCCAAGTATGTGAAGGTTGTGTGCTTGGCAAGCAAGCACGACTATCGTTCCCTGTTGGTGATACATGGAGAGCAAAGGCACCACTGCAGTTGGTGCACACAGATATATGTGGTCTATTGGATCCCATGTCTTATGGAGGTAATAGGTATTTTATTACCTTCATTGATGATTTCAGTAGAAAGACTTGGGTCTATTTTCTCAAGGAGAAGTCAGCTGCCCTAAAAATTTTCAAGGAGTTCAAGGCACTCACAGAGGCAGAAAGTAACCACAAGCTTGTGGCTGTGAGATCAGATAGAGGTGGAGAGTACACCTCCAATGCTTTCCAAGCATACTGTAAGGAGCAAGGAATTAGGCATCAACTTACTGCTGCCTATACCCCACAGCAAAATGGGATAGCCGAAAGAAAGAATCGAACCATCCTTGACATGACAAGGTCCATGCTTAAGGAGAAGAATTTGCCAAAAGAGTTATGGGCAGAAGCTGTAGCTTGTTCGATTTATTTGTTGAATCGATGTCCAACAAAGAGTGTCAAGAGGATGACACCACAAGAGGCTTGGAGTGGATACAAGCCGAATGTTACACACCTAAGAATTTTTGGGTGTGTTGCATATGCTCAAGTTCCAGAAGCCAAGAGGAGGAAACTTGATGATAGAGGTGAGAAGTGTGTGTTTGTGGGCTATAGTGAAGAGTCCAAGGCATACAAGCTCTACAACCCACTAACTGGCAAACTAGTGGTTAGTAGAGATGTCATCTTCAGTGAGGAAGAGACATGGACGTGGAACAACAAAGAAGTCAGTAAAGAGAAGATCGTCTCCATTGATTTTGAAGAACCAGAAGTTGTACCACCGATTGAGCAACAGCCTGCTCAAACAATCACAACAACTCCAGTGCACAGAATTGCAAGGAGTGGTCCTACATCTAGTGAGGAAAGCAGCTCCTCAACTCCAGTGAGGTTAAGGAGTCTCACAGAGATTTATGGACAAGAAGAAGAAGAAGAAACCAACCTTTTCTGCTTGTATGCAGACCACGAGCCTTTCTCATTCAATGAAGCTGTGGAAGAAGATTGTTGGAAGAAAGCCATGGAAGAAGAGATCCATGCCATCGAGAAGAATGACACTTGGGAGCTGACAAAGCTCCCACCAAATCAGAAGGCTATTGGTGTCAAGTGGGTTTACAAGATCAAACGCACTGCAGATGGGAGTGTGGATCGATACAAATCAAGGCTTGTAGCAAAGGGCTACAAACAGAAGTATGGAGTGGACTATGATGAAGTCTATGCTCCAGTTGCGAGACTTGACACGGTAAGATTGCTAATCTCTCTTGCCGCACATCATAAATGGAAAATTTATCAACTAGATGTCAAGTCAGCCTTCCTTAATGGAGTACTTGAGGAAGAAGTGTACGTGGAACAACCGGAAGGCTTCCAAGTACAAGGAGAAGAAGATAAGGTGTATCGTTTGAAGAAGGCTTTGTACGGCCTCAAGCAAGCACCACGAGCTTGGAACTCAAGGATCGACAACTACCTTCACCAAAATGGATTTCAGAAATGTCCATACGAGCATTCAGTTTACATGAAGAATGGTGAAAAATGGGAGTTCTTAATTATTTGTCTCTATGTAGATGATTTATTGTTTACAGGAAACAATGAGGCAATGTTCCATGAGTTCAAGCAATCCATGTTCAGTGAATTCGAGATGACTGACAATGGATTAATGTCATACTTTCTTGGCATAGAAGTGAAGCAAGAAAGTGATGGTATCTACATCTCTCAACAAAGGTACATGAGAGACATATTGAAGAAGTTCAATATGGACAAGTGCAACACTGTCAATACCCCAGTCGCAACTGGATTGAAGCTGTCCAAAGGAGGAGAGGGTGAGTTTGTAAACTCAACAGTGTACAAAAGCCTCGTTGGAAGCCTAAGGTACCTTACAATCACAAGACCTGATATAGTTTATGGTGTTGGACTCATGAGTCGATACATGGAAACACCAAGGGAGTCTCATTGGCTGGCCGCCAAGAGAATTTTGAGGTACATAAGAGGTACTCTAAACTATGGTCTATTTTATAATTTTGGTGAAGATGCAAAATTATTTGGTTATTCAGATAGTGATTGGGGAGGTGACCAAGATGAAAGGAAAAGCACAACTGGCTATGTGTTTTTTCTAGGATCAACAGCTTTCTCATGGACTTCAAAGAAGCAATCAATTGTTGCTTTGTCATCATGTGAAGCCGAGTATGTTGCTGTAGCCTCAACCGTGTGTGAGGCAATTTGGTTAAGAAATCTGTTGAAGTCAATGTGTCATCCACAAGTGGAATCGACTGTGATTCACGTAGATAACGTGTCTGCAATCAAACTTGCAAAGAATCCTGTTCAACATGGAAGGAGCAAGCACATTGATACCAGGTTCCATTTTCTAAGGGACCATGTGAAGCAAAAGACAATTGAACTTGTCTACTGTCACACCAAGGAACAAGTGGCAGACATCTTCACAAAGCCATTGCCAATTGAAACATTCCGGCTACTGCGTGAAATGCTAGGAATGAAGGCGTTTTGATTTGAGGAGGTGTGTTGGAAATTCAAATCAAAACAGGTTGCTATTGTTGAAAATCAATGTCAAAGTTAGGCATGGAAAGTTAGGCAATGTTAGGTATGGTTGAATAAAAATTATTAGGTGCAATTAATGTGTTTTGTGTGGTAATAAATAATCTTAGTTTAATCATTTGGTTTGCTATAAATACCCAAGCTCTCAAGCATTGTAAATCATCCCATCCGAATCCCACTTCCAATTGTGAAGAAGCTTGTAAGCTTTCTTATTCCAACAGTTTGTAAACCTTTTTTCATATATCAAAGTCCAAGTGTTTTGCCAAAGCTTGTTGCTTCCCTCCTTTCTCTATTTCTTTCTTTGTCCGATTTTATTTGAGAGTGCAAAGTGAAAGAGGTGTGATAGAGTTTGTAAACTTATCACCCACATATTTTGGTATTGAGTTAGTAAACTGTAAAATACCAACAGTATTCCCTCTTTTGAAATTCAGTTATGATAATCTACCTAGCGAGAAAGCTAGATCTTGTTTCTTGTATTGTGCATTATTTCCGGAAGATTTTCTCATTCACAAAAGAAGATTAATATATTGTTGGGTTGGTGAGGGAATACTGGATGAGTATGATGACATGACTGGAGCTCAAAACCAAGGTTATGATATTATAGGTACTCTTGTTAATGCATGTTTATTGGAAGGTAGGGAAGATTATGTGAAAATGCACGATGTTCTTCGTGACATGGCATTGTGGTTGGCATGTGAATGCGGGAAGGCCAAAGATAATTTCGTAGTTCGTACTGGCGCTCATTTGGTTAAAGCACCAGATTTTGAAAAATGGAAGGGTGTGAAAAGGATGTCACTAATGGCTAATCAGATTGAGAATCTGGTGGAAAAATCCATATGCCCCAGTTTATCTACCTTGTTTCTAACTGATAATCGTTTGAAGATAATTGGTGAAGGCTTCTTTCAGCATATGCCCAGTTTAAGAGTTTTGGACCTGTAGGAAAACAAGGGTATAACGCATTTGCCATCGGGTATATCAAGATTGAAGTCACTACAATATCTCAATCTATCACAGACAGGTATAAGAGGGTTGCCTATTGAGTTAAAGGCCTTAGACTAGCTAAAATATTTGAACCTGGAGTTTACCAGTAAGATGGATATGGTTCCGAAGAATATAATTTCAAGTTTTCTGATGCTCAGAGTTTTGAGAATGTATGATTGTGGTTCATCTGACGATATTCTGTTTGGCGGAGTGATAAGAGCATATTTATGCGACTTAAATGGCTTGTTCTCATACATTTACGTTATGTTTCTTTAGTTATTTTAGTACTTTAAGCTATTTTCGTGTGTTTGTAGGTCCAAAGGGCTAAAGGAGCAAAAAGATGCATTTTGGAGACTTTTGGAGCACTTTTGGGCTAAGGACGGATAGCTTATGCTTGAAGCCAAAGTGTTGGACGAAATTGAAGACCTAATTGGAGCCAAAGTGTTGGAACCTTGTTCTCTTTAGTTTTAGGACATTTAAACCTTTCCTAATCCCAATCATGCCATGCATAACACACATCCATTCTAACACATTGTCATTGCACATGCATTTCCTTCATTAGTTAACCCACATGCACTTATCACTTATCATCACCACATATCATATCACTTAATCACTTATCACTTATCATCACCACTTAACCACTTATCATATCATAACCACATATCATATCACTTATCACTTATCACTTAACATATCATCCACCTACTTCACCTACAACATCCACCCACTTCACCTACAACATCCACCTACTTCACCTACAAATGACATAGCCATATGTTCCCTCCACTACTCCTATAAATACCCTTGCATTCATTCATTCATGACCATCTCATTTTTCATACACAACACACCACAAACACTTCCATCTTCTCCCTAGCCGTGAGTCTCTCCATTTTCTGCACCATTCCCTTCCCTTTCTCCTCCATTTCTTCCATTTCCATAATCCCCCAATCCATTCAACACACCAACAACATCCCTTAGTCCTTGTGCTACAACAAAGACGAAGAGAAGAAGGCCTAAACGTTCATACAATTCACGTTTGAGTTGTTGGAATGTTTACGCGTTTCTTTGATTTCAATGTTTAAATTCAATTCTCTTTGTTTTGTAATATGAGGAATGGAAGAGAAGAGTGCCTAAACGTTCATACAATTCAAGTTTGAGTTGTTGGAATGTTTAGGTGTTTCTTTGATTTCAAAGTTATGAGGAACTAAACCTTTTTTTTGGCTAGGGGTGATTTCAATACCATGATTATTTATGTGATATGAATTGATGAATTCCGGTTATGAACTCTTGATTCGTGAATGCAATTGGCTTAACTATTTGATGATTAACTTATTTGTGTTTGTTGATTGAGGGTCGATACTTAATTAGCATGCATGAATATGTGGCTAAAGTTTAAGAAGGTTTCACATAATCGTTACTAACTTATACTTGAAAGTAGTAAAGGTCGCTTGTCACGATCGCGTTAAGTTTAATTCTTAGCATGAGTAACATGATGTCATAGTTGCAAATGCTTTGTCAATGCTTATGGTTTTCATTATTCTTAATGATCTTCGATTGTATCTCTATTATGATGACATGTAGGGAACTTTTGAGAATGTTTTGGGTTGTCGAATGATGCCATCCAATCCAATAATATAAGGAAAATCTGAGGGTTAACTAGTGATGTCACGGTTAATTTGGGGCATTGTCGTTCATAATTCAATGAAGGAATAACTGGAAATTGATTCATATGCATAAATATCATGTGTAGAGAAAGAACCCTTAGCTAGCTTCCCATCCATTCATTTCCGTCAAATCCATATTTACAATTTGTTTTGTTTCCAAGTATTCATTTTAGTTTAAATTCGTCCAAATCCAATTCCCCCCTATTTCGTTGAAATCTTAGTCTTAATCTTTCTTATTTTTAGTTTTGCTTTCTGCGAGCATTAAATAGTGTTTTATATTGTGTTTTTATGTTTTTAAGTCAATTTAAAAGGTTTTAGCAAGCCCTCCTAATCCCCGGTCTAGAACGATCCCTCACTTATTCATTCTACTACAATTGTCAAACGAGGGTTTAATTTGAGTGTCAAGTAATTCTCACATCAAATTTTTGGCGCCGTTGCCGGGGATTAGCAACTTTGCTAATCCCTTGGTTCTTTTCTTTTTTTTGGTTTAGTTGTTTTCGTTTTAGTTTCTAACTTAGTGTTGTTTTCTTTGTTTGTTGTTACTTTTGATATTTGATTTAGTTCTCTTTCTTTGATTTTAGGTACTAGAGAAGTAAGATATGGATTTTGCTAGCATTCAAGCTCAATTGGCAAATCTTACTTCTAAATTGTTGCCGTATGCCGAAAGGACCACAATGCAGAGTGTCCCTACATTTGGTGCTTCATATAGGCAAGGATTTCAAGCCAATCAATGTCCACAAAGAGATTGGAGGGATCATTCAAACTCTATATGATGGGAAGATCAACAAGTTCAACGTGAAGCATATTGGCAACCATATGAGGAGTTCTATTCAAGACCTATGCAGCCACCACAACTTCATATGCAATATGCTCAATTAAATTCAAGTTCGCCAATAGATTATATTCAAATTCTTAATGAAATAAATTCTTTGGCGCAGGGGTCACAAAATCAAGCCAAGGAGGCTCAACAAGAAGCATATTGGCAACCATATGAGGAGTTCAATACAACACCTATGCAGCCACCACAACCTCCCCCACAACAATTCCAATCAAGTTCAAGTATGTCCATGGATAATGATAAAAATTTTCAATTACTAACCTCTTTGACGCAGGACGAACAAAATCAAGAGAAGAAGTTGGGTAAATTGGACGAGCAATTTGGGCAGATTATGGAGTTCATGAAACAAATTCAAGAGCAAAGTGAACTTTCCAACTCAACTATTGAAAACTCGAAGGAAGATTTTGAAATCCATAATGCTATCACTTTGGGAAGTGCTATGGAGGTTGGAGCTGACCTAAAAATGTCCAAACATAGCCTAGAAGTGGATGAAGAGCTGCTAATTGAGGAGGAGGAAGAAAACATGCACACGGCAAGGGTAGAACAACCCTTGCCGCAGCCTCCTAAGCCCTCTAAACCACCCACCACCAGTAAGGACGTCCCAATTCCATGTTATTCTGATGTTATTCCACCCAATGTCCCTTTTCCTAGCAGGTTTTTGATTCCCAACCAAGAAGAGAGTAAAAAGGACATCGTGGAAGCCTTCCCAAAGGAGCAAAATGCTATTCAAATTCTTGGTGCAACACAGCAAGTTTTAGATGGTGTTGAATTCTTCAAAGGACTTTGTACACCAAGAAGAATGATTCAAGAGAAGGTAGTGGCTGGAGAAGATGTAGAAGGCATCAAAGAGGACATATTTGAAACCACAATTCCCAAGGAAGTTGGATTTTATGACACGGGACAAGTCATAACTTTCGAAGGGGTGTTTATTCTGGAGTTCATTTTGGAGCACATAGGTAAGCCGCCTCCCCGAATTTCAATTTTCTTTTATACTAACATGTGGTTAATGATTCAGGCACCCAATCTGGAATTTAAACTATTACCGGATCATTTCAAGTATCACCGCCCATTCAAAGATAAATTCCATGCCGTTTGATTTTATTTATGTAAAAAAAAAAAAAAAAAAAAAAAAAAAAAAAAAAAAAAAAAAAAAAAAAAAAAGATACTAAACATGGAGAAAGGTGGAGCTTCACAAAGGTTGTTTACGTGAAGCCCCACTACGAGGCACAGAAGCGGAAGGCGCAAAAGCGGGAGGCATAGAAGCGGGAGGCATCGGAGCGGAAGCCATCGGAGCGGGAGGCATCCGAGCTAGAGCATTCCAGGCCTCAATACTTGGCCAAGCGCTGGATGACCCAGGAAAAAGGTGCCTCTGGAGATAAGACGCAAGCCTTTGACGGTCATTGTGAATTCGACCCTCAGATTCTTGCAGCTCATCAAGCTTCCTCTTCATGCCCGACAAATAATTATTTGCAAGCACATGCAAACTTCTATTCTCATACTTAAGCTGCTGGATCTCCTGCTTGAGACTTTCCACCTCTGCCATCAATGATTCCACCTGACGGGAGCGGGCAAGCAGGCGTTGGCCCATGTTGGACACAGAACTCGCACACTGAACACTAAGTGCGAGGGACTCTTGAACGGCCAACTCATCGGACCGTCCTGACAGCAGCCTACTATCTTTTGGAGTGAGGAGGTTCCTAGCTACTATTGTAGCTGTTGTGGCGTCCTGCATCACGGAGTCTTCACCTGTGAAAGGACCGTTAGAAGAAAAGAAAGAAGGGCGCCATACGTTACCTTGACGCGGCGCGCCCGTATCACTGCTAAGGCTCAAATCTAAGCTAAGGTTCGATGAGTTTGCCATTTTTTTTCAAAAGTGTTCAAAGAGAAGGGGTGGATGGAGTTAAAATTTCACAAAGGGCCGGAGTCGAGTTTCAGGAATGGGAAATCTTCAGAGTGTGTGTGTTGGGGTGATTGATAGCTCTATAAAAAGCCAAGACGACGCGTCCACCGATTCAAAGAGCCGGATTTTCCGGCGTAATTTAGGCGACGCTCCCTCGGCTTTTCAGAAAACGCGTTCAACTTTGTCAAAAGATTTCTGACAAAGCTGAAAACACGTGGAGGTCATCATCGCATCTACACATCTTTAGCCGACAAGCGCAAAGTTCGGCGACGCTTTCTCTGGTTTTCAGAAGACGCGTGCATCTTTGTCAAAAGGAGCCGCATCTGCACTACCACGTGTCGTTCAGAAAGCGAAGGGGCGTCGTTCAGAAATCGAAGGGGCGCCTGCTCAGAAATCGAAGAGGCGTATTCAAAGATCGAAGAGGCGCCACTATTTCAAAGAACCGGATTTGCGGGATCAAAACGTTTGTCGACAAGGGTAAAAAGTACCACCACTTGATATTATCTCTATATATGTCGACCTTCGTCTTTTATGGCAGGGCAAACCTGAAGAAAATGCCCAACTCTCCCTCACCTCTGAGGGCGCACTCCCAGCAAAGCCTTTCAAAATACTCAATTCTTTCTTCTTCCCCAAAGATGATACCAGATGCCTGGAGTACATATGACCCAGGAGGAAACGGCGGATTGAAGCATGTGCTGATTCATTCACCGCTTCTTCAAAGCAAAGGTATCTCATATCATCAAGGTCAAAAGCAAAAGTATCTCATATCATGCTTTTTCCCTGTCTTTTTCTTTGTCC